TCACCTCGTTGGTCACACTTAAAGGTTCTTAAATTTATGATCCGAAAATGCTTTGAATAATACACTTCTCTTTCCTCTAACAGAGTGTGTCTGTCCACAAGCAAAACGTACATTGGAGTGCCCTACATTTGTGAAGAGGAGGGTCAAACAATTTGATTGCCTCCTCATCCTCCTCGTTGATGTCGGTGTTATCGATCGGTAGCGCCGCGAGACGAAGGAAGGAAGCGGTGAGAGCGGGATTCCAGCAGCAGCAGGGGACTCCAGCACCAACAAAGTCCCCTGGTCCACGAATGCAGGCTGGCCTTGGGAAGGGGGGGCAGTGCAAGTTGCGGTGTGAAAGCGCGAAACCGTTCGATTTGTGGGAAGCACTGACTGGATGGCACAGGGACGCCACGTGGACCAGGCCAGTCCCAAGGCAGGAAGCCCCTCCCTCCCAATTCCCGATCCGTGCCGTCGAACGATATTCGAGCGCGAGAGACAGACGGACGAACGAACGAGCGAGGGAGCGAGATGGATAGATATCTGAGGGAAGAGCGGCGGGACCACAGACAGATGCCGTCATCGAGATGGTCAGTCATATGTGGGATCTGCGGGCCACAGGGGAGAGGAACTTCTGCGAAGAAGGCTGGGCCTCCTTCTGTCCCTCCCTCCCTCGCCCTCCTTCCTGGTCCTTCGTTCCTTCCTGTGTTGCTGTTGTTGATTAGGCACGCAGAATGCATTCGGACAACAGAGCTTTCTCATCTCTCAGACGACGCTGCACCCCCACCCCCCGCATCTACTAACAACCTCTTCCTGACCTAGCTCAGATCGAAGTCTTCGCCACTCTGCGTTTGGCCATTCAATTCGCGCTCCCGCTGCGCTCAAATTGGGGCAGCTGATGTTTGGGCCCGTTTTGGTGCGGGTTGTCGCGGTTTAGGGCTCGGGCGCGTTCGGGAGCTCGGCGTGACGAGGGGAGGAGGTGGTGCCATGCGGTTTTCGGAGGTGGCCTCGAGGCGGGCGTGTGGCGGTGTGGTTGGGATGGTGCGAGTGAGGAGGACGTGAGCGGTGCGTGGGCCGAGATGCGTGGGCGGAGCGACGCGTGGTTTGGTTGAGTGAGGGGCCGCGGAGGCGATCGTCAGGCTTGGATTGTGGTTGCAGCGGTTATGGAGGAGATTGGTGCGGTTGAGCCTCCGCGTACGGATGCGCGAGGTTTAGCGGAGGAGAGGGAGAGGGAGAGGGAGGGGGAGCGTGAGGGGAGTGAGAGCGAGAGGGGCAGGGGCGTAGGTGTCAGAGAAGAAGCTGATAATCGGAGCCACGGGCAACTGCCGGACGGGGACCCTGACGACGAAGAGGACGTGTGTCGAATCTGTAGGACGCCCGGGGACGAGGAGTCGTCTCTGTACCATCCGTGTGCCTGTAGTGGCAGTATCAAATATGTGCACCAGGAATGTCTTCTGCAGTGGCTCAACCACAGTAATGCGCGGCAGTGCGAGGTACGGCTTGGATTTTGGCAGATTTGGTGGCCATGGAGGAAGCCCTTTGTAAGGGCATGCTTAGGGTTCTCCGCGGGGTGTTGTAGACTGGCAGATCGGATCACTGGTTCCGTGATGACTCTGGAAAGATTAGGTCTGATTAGGTTCGATGTCGAGGGTCCGGTTTCGGGACTGCAGCACATCGGATTCTCCGTTGTTGCCTAACGCGCAATTCGCAAGGGCGATCTGTGGCTGTGGTTGTTCCGGTTCTTGGCCGAGGATCCGAAACCCGGCAGATTGACGTTGCGTCGGTGACTGGTTGAGGAATGAGACTGGAATTTGAAATGCATTTTGCGGCAGCTGAAAGTGGACTGGAGTCGTGCGACTTCTCACATTCTGACCTAAAGCGTGCCTCAGATTGTGTGTTGTCGTTTTTTGGTTCCCGGGAGTGATGGTCATCTTACGTTCAGTGCGTGGACATGGGCTTGGTGGGACGAGTTGTGCTAAAACAATTAGGTTTGACGAGCTGGTAGTTGCGTGGTTGTGACGATGGTGAGGCGAGGAAATGACGATGTGTTGGGTTGGCGATGCAGGTTTGCAAGCATATGTTTGCATTTTCGCCCGTGTATGCACCTGACGCACCTGCGAGGCTGCCCGTGCGGGAGCTGTTCCTGGGCATGACAGTGAAGGCTCTGAAGGGGGCACGGTTCTTTATTCGCCTGCTGTTTGTAGTCTGCGTGTGGCTTCTGCTGATCCCGTTTGTAACTCTTTGGATTTGGAGGGTTACGTTCGTGAGGAGTTTGGTGGAAGCGAAGCGACTGTTTTTCAGCCGGTGGACTTTTAGTCTGCTACTCACAGACTGCTTGCACGGGTTCCTACTGTCGGCTGGAATCGTGTTTATCTTCCTGGGCGTGACGTCATTGAGGGAATATTTTCGGCACCTGCGAGAAATAGCTGGAGGGCAGGATGGCGACAGGGAGGATGAAGCAGTGGACAGGGGCTTGGGAGGCCGAGCTGGCAGGCGCCTGGGCCAGGTGGTTGCCGGAGTGAGAGGTTTTGGAGGTGACGGGGGTCAGGCAATCGGAGGCCCGCATGGCAATCACGAGATGGTCGTTGTGCCTGCGCCTGCTCAGGGTCTCGCAGCTGGAGCCGGTCAGTTGCTGCGGCGGAACGCCGAGAACGTGGCTCTTCGGCTGGAGATGCAAGCTGCACGGCTGGAGGCACATGTGGAACAGATGTTTGATGCTGTCGAGGATGCGGATGGTGCCGAGGACGTGCCGTTCGACGAGCTCGTGGGAATGCAAGGTCCCGTTTTTCACTTACTGGAGAACGCGGTTACAGTAAGTTCCAGCGATCGTGTCGCAGTCGAATGCATGGCAATTTATAGAGGCAATGTGGCACCTGCGGTCGTTAAGATTGTACGGCGATTAAATGGGCAAGAGATGCGGATTTTGCGGGGTGATGTTTGTGGTTGTTCAGAGTTCTAACCAGCAGTGCGTGGACGTGGTGTTGTGTTCGCAGGTGCTGCTGAGCAATGCAATTTTTCTGGGAATAGTTGCTCTGATACCATTCACTCTTGGTCGGATCATTATTTCTGTTTTCTGGAAGATACTGGTAGCTACGGGAAGTGCCAGAACCATGACACGTTGGTCAGAGATATCCATGGGCGTGTTCGGTGTGAATGGCAGCTCCGCTGCCCGGGGTCTGGACATCAGTTCTGCTGCTCTGTTGGTGGGGGAAGAGAGAGAGAACAACGGTAGCTTTTTCAAGTTACTTGCCGAGCATAGTATCTCAAGCGAGAGCGCAGCTTCGGTTGCGATACCCGTGAATGCGGTGAAAGAAGCTGTGGTTCAGGTGTCGGCGTTCAGGTTTTCAGATGCGACAACAGTGGCTGTTGGCTACGCGGCAATATTTTCAGCTGTAGTGTTCTACCTGGGACTCATCGTCCTGATAAGATATAGTCGAGGGGAACCTATGACTGTTGGAAGAATCCGCGGGGTTGCTTCTATGGCGGAAGCTGCGCCGTCAGTAGCGCGGCAAGTGATAGCCGGGGTGAGCTACATGGCTACAGGGGTGAAGGTGGCGTTCCTGCTGTTCATCGAGCTTGGAGTATTTCCACTGCTGTGTGGATGGTGGTTGGATGTATGTACTTTAGGCATCCGTGACGTTACATTGACGCAGGCTGTATCATTTCTCTCGTCCTCCCCTTCGATGAGCTCTTTTCTGCATTGGCTGGTGGGGATCGTGTACATGTTGCAGATCAGCATATTCGTGAGTCTGTTGCGAGAGGTACCAGACGTTTTTCTTGGTCATTTGAAGTTTTCAAGGGTTTCAAGAATAAGTAGTTTTAACTCTAGGAAATCCTCTTCGTGTACTTGGTCAAGTATGATCCAGGGTCGTTGTTAGTCGTGCCGCTAGGATAGGTGCTGGTGTTTGCGCGTGACGGAGTGTTGTTCCCTCAATATTTCTTGCTTCGTTTGTTGTCATCCCAGTTGTTTTCTCATCTTCTTGGCTTTGCTTGTGAAAACTATTGTGAGTGGTTGCTGTGTTCGACTGATCGTCTGTTCTTGATTGGCACTTTTTTGTACAAGAAGGAACAATGGGTGTGGGTCCGAACAAGGGAGGTGCGTGTGGTGTTAGTCACGTGCGTTTATTGATCCATTGGGATTGTGTTGCGTTCCAGGTGTTGAAACCAGGGGTTTTGTATTTCCTGCGGGATCCGGCGGATCCAAACTACAACCCATTCCGGGATCTGATCGATGATCCCTTGCACAAGCATGCACGCCGTGTGCTTCTTTCTGTGGTGGTGTACGGCAGCCTGGATTGTGATGCTGGTGTTTTTGCCAGTCAGACTGGCGATTTCGATTGCCCCTCGTATGTTTCCACTAGACATAAGGTGAGGGCACAGGCTCGAGGAAGTAGTTAACGGGAAGAGGTTGTGCTGGGACTATGTTTAGCTGCCCTTGATGTGTTCGAGTGATGTTCATTGGGTAGCAAGTTGAGTGGATCCCACGGTTGAGTGGGGGTTTCTTAGCTTACTGGTCTCGTGAGTTGCAACATGCGCTGAGGGGAACGGGTTGTTGTGTTTCTTGCAGGGTATCCGATCCGTTCACGGAGATCCCAGCAGACATGTTGCTATTTCATATTTGTATACCATTCGCTGTGGAGCACTTCAGACCGCGTGCAACCATCAAGAGCGTCTTGTTCCATTGGTTCTCGACTGTCGGGTGGGCTTTGGGTCTGTCGGAGTTTCTACTCCCTGGAGCCGAGGAGGCAAATGGAGTTGGTGGCAATAATGAGGAAGAGAGGGGGGTTGGAGGACAAGAGAGAGGCGACAACTTTGATGGTAATCACCCAAGAGGTGAACACGGTGATGGTGCAGGAAATCGTCACCAGATTGGTACAGCGTCTGGTATGGATGCGGAGGACGAGGCTTCCGACAACGAGGGCGAACATGACACGGATGAGTAAGTGGACTTCCGCACGTGTGTGTGATGTGCCGGTGGCGCTACCTAGGATGGAGTAGCGCTTACGATAGGTTCTTGCATATGGATGGTGAGGCGACGTGCTTGCCGTTGTGCTGGAAGGATTGGATCTATGCTAGGAGTACACTTTGGCTTTCAGGTGACCTTTGAACGGTCTGTGCCCGAAGTGTGTGTTTCGTATCCGACTCACGTGGGTTATATGCACCAGCCGGGTCGCAACTGGGTGGTGTTGGGAAGCCATGCACCTGGGCAGGCTTGGGGTGGGGTACCACATTCGAGGAGCGATTTGCTAGTAGCGTGCTTTCTTGTTGTGTGGAAGCGAGTTTGGTTGATTTCACCCCACTGACCATTGCGCTGTATTGATCATCAGGTACCGATTTGCATCGCGAATGGTGCTTCTTTTACTAGGGGCATGGTTAACTCTTCTAGCATTCAATTCGGCCATGGTGCTGCTTCCCATTTCCATTGGGCGAATCATAATCACTTCGTTCTCTCGTCTTCCTATTACGCGTGGTGCTAAATGCAACGGTGAGAAGGGCGCCTGGGCTGCACCAGAGTTTGATTTGTGCAGTCAATCGTAGTACGTGCTAGTTCGGTGTGGTCTATTCGGTGATAATCTAGAGTGGTTGTGTGATGGATGTAGAGATGTGTGCATGTGCTCATGGTAGGAATGGTCGAATCGTTGTTTCGTCCTGGGGGTATTTTGTGTTGGTTGGTGAAACTGGGGTTTTGCGTTTTCACACGGATGTTTGTTTTGTTACAGACTTGTACGCATTCAATATTGGGTGTTACGTGCTTTGGGCCACCGCTGCAGCAATACAGTATGTGGTGGATTACCTGCGGACCCACGACATTCGGGTGTTTTTGCGACAGGTTGTGAAGTGGTCATCCATCGTGGCCAAAAGCTTTGTGCTTCTCTCCCTCTGGGTAGGCGCAGTATCCTCGCCTTGTCTTAAACCTTGATCGTTGGGTTGTAAAGATTGACAGATTGTGCAGATCGAGCAGCCGAAAGCATGGAGTGGTCGTTAGACTTGCTTCGTGTGTTTTGAGGGGATTGCTTCTACCTGGCGTATCCAATTAGAAGACAATTCTGGGTTTTGGAAAGATGTACGAGTCGCTTAGATGGGCTCGTGGTGGGCACATGAGCAATACTGAGTGGATGTTGTGGGTTGCAGGTTGTGGTAATTCCCGTGCTTATTGGGCTTCTCTTCGAGCTGCTGGTTGTGGTTCCCTTGCGAGTGCCTATTGATGAGAGCCCAGTGTTTCTCCTGTACCAAGACTGGGCGTTGGGATTGGTGTTTCTGAAGATCTGGACAAGGCTGGTGAGTGGGTTTTTGTGTGGAGGAGTTGGTTGTTAGTTGCAAGGATTAGTGCTGGCGCATGGTCAAGCTGGTGGCACGCTTGTTTGGGTTGATGTTTTAATCTAGTGATCGTTTTGTTGTCTTGTTTCTGGTGTGTGGATAGCTTGGACATCCCTGGCAGAGTGATTGGGATTTCCTTGTCGTAGTGTGGTGTATGTGAAACGTGGGGTGTTTGAACATGTAAGGCCTGCTGTTCATTTAACAGGTGACGTTTGGACAGATCGTGCCCCTGGTGGATGACAGCTGGCGAGTGAAGTTCGAGCAAGTTCGGACCGATGGGTTTTCCCATTTAAGAGGTTGGTGGGTGTTCACAGCAATCGTGGGCCCGGTTCTTATCCAGCTGTTGACAGCTCTGTGCGTGCCGTATGTGTTTGGGCGGGGAGTGTTCCCTCTGTTCGGGTGTTCAATGAAGGTGAATTCGGCAGTGTATCGCTATGCTTGGTTGGGTTGCCTATTGTTGGGAATCGTCTGGTACGGTGGACAGCGACTGCATCGATGGGTATTGGATCTTCACGATGCCATCCGCGACGATCGCTACCTTGTGGGACGGCGACTGCACAATTACGGGGAGCAGAAGAAAGCTGCAGCTGATCCGGAGTTATTGAGACTGGCGTCGTCAGGTAGGACATGTGTTAAAGGCTGATGCGTTTGTGTTGATGGATCTATGTCGCGAGAGTGGGAGCAATGCGGCCGTTTTTTTTTTACTTTTTATTCCGTAGATTGTTGGCAAATGATGGGAGGAATGAGAGAATGCGGATCAGGTTACAGTAACAGGTTCTATTGCGGAGATCGGTTTCCAGTTTTGGGTCCATCTTAAGGGTACTGCGAACAGCTGATCTGCGGTGGGTATTTGCACGAGGCGACAACGCTAACGACTTGTGATGTGGCAGGGTTGGCAGAAGCTGAAGACGCTGCAGTCGTGCAAGCAGGTGAAGCAGCGTCACAGGCAGGGGAGCGGGAAGGCAGTGGGGAGGAATTGGAAGCAGCAGCTGGCTGCGCGGGCGGGATTGCGAGCGATTCAGACAGGATGATGGACCCTGCAGTGATGGGGGCTCACAGGATGGAGGCGAGCGCGAGCACACTAAAATTCCGGGGTGCTGTCAGCCATGAAAGCACCAGGAGCTAAGACATTACTCAGTCTTGCATTGTGGTGGACGAACCACATAATGCGGACTTCGAGTTGCACTTATGTATAAATGTAGGTAGGCACGCAGGTTTGTTGAGCAATGTACGTGCCTGTGTGTGGCTGCGTATTTCGTCGGTCGGACGATGGGCCTGTTGCGATGCAGCGGATCACCTGGACCGATTGCTACAACTGACCAAGTCTCGCCACGGTCTGCATTGCGCGCGCTGTGGCGTGGTGGTAGAACTTTTCATGACATGGAGATTTCGTATAGAGAGGGAGGTGACATGGAACGTTTGTAGGTAGAGTAGCTCCTGTTAAATTCAACCCCATTTTTTTGTACCATCACTGTGGACAGTTTCTCACGAGTAAGCCTTGTGGTATAAAGATGTCTATATTTCATGACGAGGTTGTAGGCTCTTGTGGTTTGCCCAATTTGGAATTTGTAGTACAGTTGGTCTGGTGATTTGCGGTTCATGCGTGAAGCGGTGTTTCAGCTCGCAGCGAGGGGAAGTTTACTGTAGGTGTTGCTGCAAACATGGCATGCTAGCTGTTAGACGTTGACTCGTGTGTTTTCCGCGATATTAGTTACCGATACGCAAGCGCTCCTGAACGTCCCCAAAGATTGGGGTTGTGTCCAAGATCGACGGGAATGTTACGAATACAAAGTTATACCAATTAATGCTTCACGAAAGATTTTTTTTTTCGGAGGTATGACGTCTGAATGACCAGTTGGTGCCCACGCATCTACTATCCTTGGAAGATCATGTGCTGGTTAAGTTATGAATCTACAAATTTTGAAACTTTCTGGAAACAATTTTCAAACCTATGGTTTGATTACTCTCTACATTGTAGATACTCTGTCCATTGAAAATCTTGATGTTGTCGGGGCTATGTTCAACCAAAATATGCCTAGCTCAATTTTCCCTTGTGAAACAACCTAGTTCCCAAACATTGGTTTACACTAGGCGGTTGGAGTGAGCTAAACTAACCCCACAGGAGCCCCACATTAGAACGTTTTTTAGGTAATATGTTCTAATTAGTTGTTTTTGTATTTTATAATCCAACTAAATTTCCATTCGAAAATTATTCTATTGGATTCAATCAATTAAAAATTGATTTAGTGTAGCTCATCAGGCATTTAGAAGATTCCTAGCTCATCAAGCAGGGAAGTAGATAGTAAAAAAACAATTGTTGTTGTGTTGTAACATGGCTATTGGATGAAAGAAAGAGGAAAGTATTACATTATAAAAGAATTTATTTTAAAAAATAATAGAAAATTAAAATAAAAACATAGATAAAAGATAAGAAGGCAGTAAAATAATTTAGTTGCGTTTTTGTAAAAATAGCTTTTATATACTTTGTAGGGCCAAAAACAAGGCAATCTAAGCTAGGTTAGCAAAAATAGTATTAAACTCACTTTAAACAAATGCTTTTGTTTTATACCTTTGCATCCTCTAATATTGCATTAAAGGTTGCTTGTACTTAACTAGTTTCAACCCTAGAAGAAATCCAACGACTTAATTCTATAGGATCATTCATTCAGTAGAAAGTTCTTGGCTTCATCGAAAGTCCTGAAACACCTAAACTGAGTCCCCTTGAAACCATTGTCGGACAATCTACACATCTCCCAACTAGTGTTAACTAGTGTTGATCGTCTTTCAATCTCTAGTTCAAATGATCGTCTTTCTCTGGATGTGGCCGGGCCTTCTTCTGGTTTTCAAGAAGTTTCGGTGAAGCCGTTCTACTCTTCTCGAAGTCAGACATACTGATTGTTGTACTAGTTTATCTATGCTTAAGATAATTTCAAGGTAGATACAAACAATAGGATATGGTTTCCTTCGATTTCACCAAGTTGTAGAGTGCCCTCGAAGATGTTGGTGTCCAACTCAGTTGGGCTCTATGTCAAAACTTCATTGCAAACTTGATAGAGCAAATACCAGACCTTGAAGCTCACACTGACATTATAAACGATGTAGCATCAAGGACTTTTCAATCTGCTGATGTCTCCATCGTAATAGGATCTAGCTCTTAACCCTCTAGAAACGATGCAGAAACGTGTCAGAAAGTACTTCAGAGTGGTGCCAACAAGGGTAGGAAATGCTCTCTTCCAAGAACTATAAACTCAGTTCTGTGAAAGGCACCTGAATATGATGATGAAGGCTGATGGACTCCTTAATGACACTAAGCAGAAACAAATAAATAGCTTCCGTGATGTCATTGGTGCAAAGAGACAGCAAAGGAGATTACCAGCAGAGATGAAGATGATGGCTATTGGACACATGTATGATGATGAGATGACACCTCTATCGAAGAAGGACATCAAGATTTGTGACCTTAACGAATGGGAGTATAGATTAAATCTAGAATAAAAAAAAAGTTTTTTTTATGCACTTTTTGTTACTAAAAGAGATGCCAGCTTCTGTATCTGACCTTGTGTTATAAAATCTCCTTTGTTTTTATTGTACAAATCTTGTATCTGGTCTTCTGAAAAGAGATTCTCAAGTGTAGAGTCAAGTACTATTCGTCTTCCATTCTTCTCTAGATTATTTGATATGTACATCCTGAGCAACTTTGATGCAGATGACAATGATGATTGGTTATCTTTGACCTTAATAGCTGTAACGTCCGCACCTTGTCGTTTGAGTACGTTCAAAAGCTTGATAAAGGAATCTGTGACATCCCTTGGAGTATCAAACGGGTTTGCTCTTTCTTGTTGCTTTTTAACTATCCTTCCATCGAGAAACTTATCAAGAGGTTCAGTAATCAGAGCATCAAAGTCTGCACTGCTGATATTACTAATGTTGTTGGTGTTCTTTAGTTGCTTGAGAAGATCAATCGCCACAAGCATGTTTCTGTTAACTGTTCGAGATACAACATACTTGATCTTTTCCTTGGAAAGGACTTTCTCTGGAGTATATGTGAATACCTCTGATGTATCCATCTCCTCGATTTTCTGTGAAGAATATTTGTAAGACCTCTGCGGAGGTGAAGGATATACCTTCTTGGGTGCTCTGCTTAGCAGCATAGGTGTCAATGTTAGTGTCTTATGTCTGGTGTCCATGTTGATGAGTGTTTATAACAAAAGCAGATGATGCTTCTTTGTAGTATATAATAAAAAAATCAGTGGTACTAACAGATAAAAATAAAAAAAAAAAACTATTATATTACAACTAGTCTGCTATTACATTAAGTTTACTTTGTTCTTGTCATCACTAGAGACTCATACATGCAAGATAATAAGTACTCATTAGAGGACATGAACTTGTTCCTGTCAAGTCTATCTCTTGTTTCCAACTTAAATCCTATATTGGTAAATCGCTCAATCAGCTTATCTACTTCTACTAAATCCTCTGTTTGATTTGTCACGATAGTATTAGGAATATGTATGTATATCTTATTGTTACTTTCTAATCTAATAGAATATGCTTCACATGTATATTCTTTTGTCTTTCTTGCTTCAAAGAACTCTATTATGTACTTCTTGGACATAACAATGCATAAGAATACACATTTATGCTTATCAGAGAATATCCTTTGAGCAATTCTAATAAGCTTTTCAACGTCGATAAGAGTAATACAAAAGAAGCACGATAGTGTTGTTATGGACTTTTCAAATCCTCTTAAGTGTTCTATTCTTGTTTGTATCACTCTTACCTTCTTGTTAATACCAAGCCTTCTCTTAAGCTCCTTGATATTATTATGAGATGGATCCATACATGTAACGCTTTTATAATGATCCCACTTTGTAATGTCTCCTCCAAATCCTGATCCAATATCTAGCAAGTGACCAGCTCCTTTCTTTAGAAGGTCTCTTTTAACTTCGTTGTGATAGGATCTCACCATAGAAACTGTTAATCCTTTAAAGATACTAAACATATTCTTCTCTTCTCTTGTTATCTTTTTGATCCTTTCTACTATTGCAACAGAATTCGGATATGTCTTGTCTTCTCTTTCTCTTAGTAGTGTTACAGTTCCATTGGAGTTTATAATAAATTCTGAGATAGCATTTTCTTTTGGTTCCGTACTAACTTCTGACATCTTGAGCCCTGAGTCTATATTTTCCTTCTTATTATATGCCATCAAGGCCTTCTCTTGATATAATAAATCAACAGTCTTTTGAGTTTTCCATCTCATAACGGGATCAAGATAAGATTGAGAGTGCGTGTATATTAGACCATCATACTTGTTCTCTTGGATTTGCTTTTCTAGTATCTGATGCTGTCTAGAGAATGCAGAGAATGTCTTAAACATGAAATGCCTCTTTGCAACTACCAATCTCTTCTTAGTAGCCTTGTTGATTGCTAAACATACTTGAGGTATCATTCTTACTCTTTCGATTAGTGGCTTATTACCAACTACTACTCCATCTAGTATGATAATATCAAATGCATAGTATATATCACCAACAACTTCTGTATCGAAGAGAGTAAGCAAGTTACAATCACAAATACCTGATTCAATAATCGTCTCTTCTCCTTTCGTTGATATAGTATACACAGTTGCCTCGTAGCATGCAAGGAATGATCTTGTACCATCAAGCTTTAGAGATACCGATCCTTCTGATGAGTAGTTCCTTGCAAGCTCTTTTACTGTTATGTCAACAAGATTTGGGAACTTGTAGCTTTGAAGATCAAGACTAGGTACAAGCTTGTTGATTAGTTTGAATATTTGTGGGACTGTAGAAGGTCTGATACGTTCCAGTGCGAGCTCCAAAAGTTTAATATCACAACCATCATCTAGCAGTTTAAGTTCGATTTTGTAATGAGTATGTGCCTTAGACACAACTCTTGTTGAGTGGATCTTGAACTTATCATAACTTATTGTACTTCTTTCTTTATTTCTTTTAATTCTTAGTGCCATCCCTTCTTCCTTGTGATGTCTTCACTCAAGAGATAGCACAACCTCTGCATTGAATTTAGGAACTATCTTCGATGATATTTTTTCTTTGATGAAGAATTCAGAGTTTATTTCTCTAACTATTACAGTACTACTACCTTTTACTGAATATAGTGTCTCCTCTGTGGTGATAATGTTATTGATTTTTGGGAGTCCTATGAATTCCTTCTCTGTCACATCTTTCAGTCTGATCTCTATTTCATATTTGTACCCTTGAAGAGACTTAGCAATCAAGTCCTTCTTGGATTTTATAAACTCTGTCAAGAAATCCATGATGTATGTCCTTGCAGAGTAGAATTGAACGTTCCGACAAGCATCCCTATTAGCTAATTCATTTATAACAACGCCATAGAAGAGTTCATTCCATCATATCCTGTTGTATCAAATAATAACTTTATTGACAACCTATGGAAGAAAAAAGAATTTTACGAAACAAGAAAAACAAACAAATCAATACTATATCCTCATCAAGAGTTTGTAAGAAGATTTATGTCTCCTCAAACACC